TCCAATAATTACGGGTCAGTCACAAAAATGGAAATACCTCCAGAACTGTAAAAGTTAGATCAATGAAATAAAAAACAGAATAAAGACTTTTTAGTTGCGCTTCTAATAGCATATTATTTAAAGTGGTTGATGAAAAAAACTTCACTAGAAAAACAAAATTTTTGTTTCATTTCATTATAGATGCTTTCCATTTCTATTCTGTCACAAAAAAAATGATCGTGAACGTCTTCCACGTGCATAATTATTATTCTGTGAGGTGAAGCATGGCAGTCACGCTAGAGGAATGTACCAGAATCCTAACTTTTTTGGAACTTGGGCGGAGCCAGCGTGAAACAGCCAGAAACATTGGTGTATCTTTGTCGACTGTTCAGCGGGTAGTCCAGCGGTACCAAGAGACCGGATCACACCTTAGAAGACCAGGAAATCGCAGACCAAGATGCACGACGGCCAGGAAAGACAGACAACTGGTGGCTACAATGCTCCGAAATCGTTTTCAAACTGCTGTTGGTCTAAAAACTCACTTTATTCGCTTTGGAGGTGGCAATTTTAGCGCTCAAACAGTAAGAAGACATCTTGCTGAAACCATTGAGGCCCGCAAATGGCCCCAAACTGGAACGGGGACATCGAATTGCAAGTCAGAGATACGTGCGCGAGCACCTAAACTGGACACTAGACGATTGGTCTAGGGTAATGTTCACGGACGAGTCTAAATTCATGCTTTATAAGCATGATGGTTGGCAGTTGGTGTACAGAAGACCAGGGGAGCACTTCCATCAATCGTGTGTGGAGGAAAAAGTGGCGTACGGTGGAGGCTCCGTACAAGTTTGGGCTGGGATTTCTACTGAGGCCCGCACCGAGCTGGTACTCATTCAAAATGGAACTCTAAATGCTGAGAGGTACGTGGAAGAGATCCTCAATGAACATGTAGGTCCTTTCATGGCCAGGATGGACCGGCATGGCAAATTAATGCATGATATTTCGCGTCCCCATACCGCCAGAATTGTACATGACTACCTTGAAGAGGTCGGTATCGAACTCATGCAGTGGCCAGCGCGAAGCCCGGACTTAAACCCCATCGAGCACGCCTGGGACGAGCTTCAGAGATGCGTGAAAGGTCGAAATCCCCCACCAATCACGCTTCCCGAGCTTAAACAAGCACTGGTGGAGGAATAGGAAGGTATTCCTCAGCACCGGCTCCGAAATTTGGTGTACAGCATGCCTAACCACCTGGAAGCTGTCAGAAGAGCTCGTGGAGGCAATACAAAGTATTAAATGAAGAAAGTGATGAAAAACAGCAAAAAAACAATCATAAAAAAATGTAATCTTAAGAAAAATATGACTACTTTAGTTTTTTTTTTTAATTTAGAGATAAGAGTTAGAGAGTTTAGATTTAAGTTTTATTTTATTTTTTATCTGTATAATTAAATTCTCAATTGAACAGTCTTCGTTTCATTAGGATGGCATACGTAGTTCGGGAGATATTCGGGTTTATGTGACTGACCCGTTATTTTTGGAACCGAGTTTATTTAAATTCCATCCCATAAAACCTATCCTTTCCCATTTTCTCTCCTATCCACACCTTCTGCGGACACTACGTAGTTGGTGCCTGCGGCCTCACTATCAACAGATACTGAGAGGCAAGGCCTTCTAGAGTGAGGGCGCCCTTAAGACGCGGTGCAATGACGAATATACATACATTGGCTTCGCCGATCCCTTGGTAGGATCGCGTCACCGCGTGAAGGCACCAAGCTGGTAGTCAGGAGGCAATCCGAGATCTCGAAAAAGATCAAGGCTGGACTCCTGGTACCACAAATCGGACCAGACGACACAATGGTCCGAATGCAAACGAGGCTAAGGTACCAAAATAGCCAGTACAACATGGCCAACAGGGCCCTCTACCACGCCGAGGCACAGGATGAGAAGAAATGCCTCTTCCTGGTGCTCGGCATCCCAGAGGAGGACGTCCTAAAACTCAAGGCTAGCGAGCGTAGAGTTTACTATAAGCTGGGCAACCTCTACGTTCGCTTCCTTCACGAACGTCCCGCCTCACCAACAAACCCAGACGAGGGGCCAGAAATGGCCCAGAAATGGCCAAGGACGGCAGTGGAGGTGATCCTCCGAGACCCGTCGAGGAACCAGCCCACCAGGGTCCACCTCCTGAGGAGTTGGATGACCTACCAGTGGGCGAGGGTGACTTTGACGAGGACATGGAGGATATGATGAGCAGCGATGATGGCGCTGTCAGTACCCCCAATAACACCCTTATAGCCATCCAAACCAACCTCCAGCACAGTCAGACAGCAAATGCTAACTTATGCAGAGAGCTGGAGGTAAACACTAACACCGTAGCCCTAATCCAGGAGCCGTGGATTAGGAAGGGCAGGATCTGCGGTCTAAACAATATTGGAGGTAAGATACTTCTCAACACTGACATTGATAACCCGCGCACTTGTATTTATACACCAAAACACGCGTGTACTACCTTAATGACCGAGTTCTGTTCCAGAGACCTTACCTCTATTAGGTTAAAGGATCGCTCATCAGACCTGCCTGACGTGGTGATAGCATCAGCCTACTTGCCGGGCGACGCTGGCATCCCCATTTCGGAGCTGGCTGGGCTAGTACACCATTGCGAGCGCGAGGGTCTGGAGCTGATCGTCTCTGCCGACACCAACGCGCACCATGCGCTGTGGGGTAGCAGGAGCAACAACCGGAGAGGTGAGGAATTTGTATCTTTCCTACTATCAACTAAGCTAAACATTATTAACAAAGGCTCGGAGCCGACATTTGTCACATCCAGGGCCCAAACTATCATTGACCTAACATTAGCGAGTGAGCACGCATGGCAACACATATCATATTTGACGGGCCTGTTGGTCGAGTGGTTAGTGCCCCTGACTGCTCAGCCGGAGGTCGTGGGTTCGATTCCCACCCAGGACAAATATTGTGTGATGAGCATGATCATTTGTTCTGTGTCTGGGTGTAATTTATCTATAATATGTGTGTATTTAAAAATATTTAAGTATGTTTATCAGCAGTCTGGTCACCATAGCACAGGCTCTGCCTAGTTTGGGATCAGACGGCCGTGTGTGAAATGTGTGAGGTATATTATTATTATTATACTTGTTAAAGCGGTTTATCGAACTGGCATGTTTGGAACAAAGCATCGGGCTCGGACCATCCCTGGATCAAATTTAACTTTGAAATAAATCGTAACCGATCCCCGACGGAATGAGCATCGGAAACGGTATGAGCATCTTACTGCGGAGAAACTGCGGAGCATGGACTCAACATATGCTCCGGGGACTGTAAAGGACATCGACAGTCATGTTGTCGACCTTACACAAACACTGAACGATTGCTTTGAATAAACATGCCCATTTTCTATACCCAGAACTGGACCACAGAACAAACACCAATGGTGGGATCCGGAACTGGCAAGACTACGTCGCAAAGTGAGAAAGTTGTTCAATAAAGCAAAAAAACTCCCGACTAGACCAACATTGGGATACCTATTCGCAGGCCCGACAACAGTATAAGAAGAGAATCAGAACCAGGAAAACTGAGTGCTGGAGAAATTTCTGTACTAACATAGAGAATAACAACCAGGCCAATACATTCAAAAACATGTTGTGTAGGAGAGGCTAAAACAACCTTGGCTCACTGAAGAAGCCCGATGGTGAGTATACCAAAACAGACTCGGAAGCCTCAGAGCTGTTATTGAAAACACTCTTCCCTGGATGTCGCTTACGTTGTTATTACATATCAGATGTGATGGAAACATGGCAAGACAGATGGGAAAAATCACTAGATGATAAAGACTGGGATACGGCCCGCAAAGATATCAACCGTGACAAACTAAGATGGGCAATTAACAGCTTCCGGCCATTCAAGGCGCCAGGACTAGATGGTATCTTCCCAGGCCTACTGAGATGGTGTGATGTGATACTACTGGACCATCTTGTAAAAATTAACAGAGGCTGCCTGGCGCATCATTTCATCCCCAAACCTGGTAAAGGTACTAGTAAGCTACACACAACCCAAATCACACCGACCTATCAGTCTCACATCCTTCCTATTAAAGGTTCTCGAGAGGCTAATAGATAGGGAAATTAGGAAAACTGCGTTAGTCAGTCACCCCTTACACCACAACCAACATGCATATTCGATGGGTAAATCAACAGAACTGCCCTACACCGAGTTCTATCACATATAGAATTGACTGCACGGATGGCGTAGTGGTTTAAGCGGTCGCCACGCCGCTTCCTACTGCGCCGAGTGTTGTGGGTTTAAACCCCACATGGAACGACACTTTGTGTGATCCACAAATTGTTGTTCTGAGTCTGGGTGTTCTTTGTGTCCGTGTCATATATGTTTGTAAAAGTCCCCCGCGACACAGGAATGTATTCCTACTGCTGGGAGTTCTTTTATAGAAAAAAAAAAAAAAATCTAAATCAACGTAAAACGACGTAAAGGTCAACACTGGCCACCTTTATCGATATCGAGGGAGTCTTTGACAAAACCAATTTCACCAGCATTGGCCAAGCTCTGTCTAGACATGGTGCTGATTCCACAATCTCAGGGTGGATCGACAGCATGCTAAGATATAGAGCCATTGCTGGTTACATTTATTTATTTTTACGAAAATTAACATACATACATAAAATAAGTATCACATCAACAGCCTTTAATAGTCCACTGCTGGACATAGGCCTCTCCTTAGAAAGAAGGTGTAAAATAAGTATACATACACATAATCTGTAGATACTAATTTATAGAAACGTAATTATATAACCAATTTAATTTTAATGCCTATCTTAAGTGTTATCAATAATTGTATGACTGAAGGTCAAATCTCAACCTCTACTCTGACTGACCATACTGATACTGCTAAATGGAATAGAAAGACCCACACCTACGACATCTTTACTTTTTTTAATTTATTTTGACATTCTTTCAATACCGCTTTTCCCAGATTTATCAAATAAAATTGTCATTTATCAATGATCATCACAGTTTAATGATATGTAGCCATAATTACAACAATCATCTATAATAGATCTTACAATCTGTCTGTACTTATTTACCGCTTTGTCTTTCTCTTCTGGGGTAGACCAAGTAATCTTACTTCTTACATGGCCCTCTTCTTGTAAGCCCGAAGATAACCACAAAGCACAGTTAGCAGTGATCACACAAGCAGGTGCTATAACTTTTAGATCATGGTCTAACATTTGTCTTGAATATACCTGTTCTGATTCTAAACCACCTTCTTTCAACATTTCTTGAAATGTATCATAATAAATATCCAGAAGTTGGTAATAATGCTTTCTGCGCACATCTGTATTAGTACTGCTGAGAATGAGATAGAGTGTGTCGTATGCAGAGCAAGATATCCGGGTATTTTGGTAATCTATCAGGCAAGCTGTTGCTGGTTTGTTATCCTGCAAAAAAAATGGTATGCTGGATTAATTATTTATTGACATTTTAGTCCATGAATATTTAGATAGACAAAATTCTTAATTTAAAATAACAAGTATACCTGTCCATCATCTATGTTTTGTTTTTCAAATGTTAAGATTAAGGGACTAAACGGTCTAGCTGATGATGTCAGTAAAATTTTAATTATATCATGTATATATGTTATGATAATTATGAGAACTAGGAGTACTCAGGTCTCACAAAGAGTACCATTGTGATATCCAACTCTGAGATGTTATTTTAATGTCAATTGTGAAATGTGCCTTTAGCTTGAATACTCTATCTCAAGTGATTTTTTCCTTTATTAGGATGTTTTTTTTGCTGAACACAATAGTTGACTCACTTTGAAACACATTTATTTGTTTGGAAATGTTATAAGTTAGAGATCATCATCATCATCAACTGCCTTTAATAGTCTACTGCTGGACATAGTCCTCTCTTTAAAATGAGGTAGGTACTAAAGATAGGCTAGAGATAATGAACACTAAATAAAAGTAGGACAAATAGTTGGTAATAAATGAAATGCATTTAATGTTACATCCCTACCTCATATCTGTATAAGATATTTTCTTTCCAAATATCTCCATGACAAATACAAGTTCTCTGAACAGATGTGGCCCCCAACTTAAAAAATGTTGAACAATTGTGGTTCAGCCTTTGTAATAGTGGAACATATTCTGTACCTTCAAACTTTTTAATGGCTTTATTCAATCTGTCCTTCATTATTTCCATGTACCGCTTACCTGATTCCTCCGTTAACGGCACACAGACTTTAGATATATCATTATATAGCTCAGGATGTTTATATTCAAGAAGGAATGATAAGCCATGAAGTTTAGCTAAAGACTTTAATGCTATTATTATATGGTCAACATCGAGAAACATTTCATGACTGTAAGGTCTAAAGCCTTCCGCATACATGTTTTGCATAACTATAGCTTCTTTACAATATTCTTTCTGCAAGTAGTAGCACCGAGGTATAACATACTGTAGGTTTGCTGGAAAATTATCTTGAACTTTTTGGTAAGTATTTAATAGAGTATCGTAAACGTAAATTTCTCTACTGAACATTAGCGTCACCGCTCCGCTGATACGGTACCGTTCGTCTGTTGGAGCCAATTTTAAAACTATTTCTATTTGAACGTTTTTTCCATCTCTTTCACCATATAACACAACAGGAAGGATGATCCCAAAATAGTTCTGACCGACAGTTTCAAACTTTTCTAAAGTATATCGCCAAGTTTGTACACTGTGCGCAGACGTTACTTTTTGCAATAATGAACTTATATATTCTTCAGATATAGCAGCCATTCTTTTGGTACCTAGCACTTAGACTTCTCAGTTTAACAACTTACTCTAGATTTATATTCTTTACTTACAAACAACAATAACAGTAATGTGCATTTACGTACGTACTATCACAACTGAAAAAGTATAAACAAAAGTGATATCAGTGACAGTGACAGGTGACAGACGACAAACGTCTTGAAATCAAAAATACATAAAGTTCACTCGGCTGAGTCCATGCAAAAAGTCGGTAACCCGGGTTACCGACTTGTTGTTGCATGGTTTGTTTAATTTAAATGCAAACTGTTGTTGGTGTAAAAGTATTATATTAAAAGATGTCCGTGTTGCGATCCAGAACCAAAGAGAACCAATCGTTCTACGATAACAAGATTGATCGATGTATTATAATTTGGTAACATCATACTGTATACCTACCTACATGTATGTTATATTGATGTATTTTACTGTGTTATTTATACACTTACCTACACTCGAACATGTTGATTAAACATGAAATTCAAAGACAGTCTAATTCAAAGACACACACAACATCATCATCATTATTAACCTATCGCAATCATCTGCTGGACATAGGCCTCTCCTATTGTACACCACTTCGATCGATTTTCGGCTTCTCGCATCCAGCTCTAACAGATGTCGGTTTTGCAGCTAATATGGGCAGCCCACTGCCACTTCAGTTTGCTAATCCGGTGGGCTATGTCGTTCACCTTGGTTTTGTACCGGATCACCTCATTGCTGATGCGATCCTTAAAAATTGCCGAGCATAACTCTTTCCACACACACAACATTGGATACTTAAAACTTTCATAACTTGAAGGTGAGTATTTCAGAATAACGACTGTTGAAAAAGGCGACTCGGTGTACCCTAGAAAGGAAATTCGAAAGTCGAATTTCCTTTCTATTGTACACCTGAGGCCCCGGCAATAAGACCTGATAACGGTACACTGTACTATTTTATGGAAGTTTCGTTGAGCCGAGTCCGACATTTCATGTTACCGTTTGAATTAATTGAAAGACCCGTGGAGATTTAGACTCAAAAAAGTGTTATAAAAGTAAATTCCAACAACTTCATCATAGAGCTTAGTTCGCTTAGTTAATAACTTTAATAATAGCCATAATAGGTTATATAAAACATAATATTGACATCACATAGGACGTGAACGATTAAGCAAAAACCATAGAGGAAGGAGTTTGTCGCTCTACGCTTCGTTTGGAGCAAAGCTAATAAGAGTACGATATCGTTTCCATTATTTGTGAAGGGAGCAAAGTGTAATGAAAGTTGGAAAAGAAGTTTCCTAGTGGTACTGATCTGTTGGTAATAAATTACACTTTAAGTAAATCTGAAACTATGAGAAAAACTTATCAGTCCATTTTCAAAATGATAAAACGTAATTTGTAATAAAATATGGTAAGCTTTTGAAACGTTAATTAATACTCTACCTTTGGAAAAAGGTTCCGCAATTAAGGGATTTAAATGTATGCAAAGCGAAAATGAATAGAAGAGCCTTCCAAAACTGGTCTGCTTACATGCTGTCATCCTTATATATATAAATATTATTGGATCTACTTTAAAAAATACCTATAAAAAATCATAAAGGAAGGGATGGTAGAAGTTTTTTTTTCTTTACAGTGTTTCTAAATTCCAATGTATCAAAATATAATGGTGAGTGGGACTAACTAAGGGAATGAAAAGTGTAGATGCAAGTTGCTTCAAGGGCATAGTTGCTTCACTGCGTGCCTGAATCTTATCGGACGCGAGGAGTCGGCACAATGCCAGCACGACGCAGCTGACTTGGACTTTGAACTTCTGAACGTGAAGTCCTGGTCGACCAAGTCGGACTAGACCTCTCAGCGCCAGCAATCATTGCTGCCATGCTGGCGGGTGAGGAGGGATGGGGCGCAGTGGTCTCTTTCTGTGAAGCTGTAATGCTCCAGAATGAGACCGCTGAACGTGATCGGGAGAGGGCCGTTCCCGAGCATAGAGGACGTTGGCGACGATACTAGCCGCCGACGGGGCCGCGGGAGCGGGGCCCTCTGGTGGCAGATTGACTGCTTCCCGTAGGGGATAGGATGGCGGCACGTCGCGATTGACGTGGGAGGGGAGTGGTTTCCCTTGGGATAGGGCATGATTAGACATGGTGTTAATTCGGGGAGGACCTGAAATAACATGCTCCAGGTCCTCCCAGAGTAGGGCACCTGAGGCCGGCCGTCTTTGTGGTTTTTAGTGGAATTACCACATACTTCTGGCTCCTGAGTGTCCGAGGAGCAGGAGATCCTAAGGGATTTTCCACCCCGTCAATAAAAAAACGTAGTCACTTCATCTGGCCAGTGGTCGTCCTAACGCCAACGGCCAGATAGAGTGACGATTTGCGCAAGATGGCTGGCAGGAGCTGGATGCGAGAAGCCCAAAATCGATCTAAGTGGCGTGCAACGGAAGAGGTCTATGTCCAGCAGTGGACTGCGATAGGCTGATGATGAAGAATAAAAAAAACAAAAAGGTATCTCAACAGTCATTTCTAGTAAAAGGTGTTACATAAATAGGCACCTACATATTTTACATAGGCGTATTAAGTAACTAAATCTGTTTAAAAAAAAATGCTTAATTATTATTTCTACAGCACGATATTGAGAGGATATGATTTAGTGAAAAGATTTCTGCTAATGTATACCCTATACATGGATGGAGAAAGCTAAAGTCGTAAAGTACCTGGCATCATTGGAAGAGATTAGCTAAATTTTATAGAAGGCTCAACTATATGCATGAACAGATTGTTCAGTAATGAAGTCAGACAATAACGAGATCTCGACGCAATCCTACGCTTGGATAAACTTGCTAATACACCTGCTTAACGCTGTGTATATTGTAGATACACCTCTAATGTAGATTTTATTTATTTATTCTTACGTATGTACACAATATAAACATTTATAAAAAATACATGAAGGAATAGTGGACACAGAGGCGAGCCTAACCCATAGTTGAATTCTCTTCCAGCAAACCTAAGAGTGAAGAGAGGATAGCACAACAAGAGAGAGTCGAATACAGAAATAAAGTTTATACTGAATATATACAGAAACTATAATATAACACAAGTTTATACATTACACTCGTATTAGTCTGTTACTGCTGAGAAAGGAAAAATTCCCTGATTCGCCTCTTAAAAACACCCAAGGATGGGCTATCGCGTATTGAGTGATGAACAGAATTCCGCAGTCGCACCGCAGACACAGTGAAAGACTTGTCATAGCGCGGGTTGAACTACGAGTAGGAGTTCGGAGGAGAAGAGAAGATGAGGTGCGACAAGGTCTACTTCTGGGGACAAGATACCCAAAGCGCTCACTCAGATATACAGGAGAGGTAGGGTTATGTAGAACCGAATACAGTAAATAAAGTATATGAACATCTCGACGCCGCCGAATGGGTAGCCACTTGAGTTGCTTGCGGAATTCCGACACATGATCATACTTTCTTAGGCCAACTATAAAGCGAATGCACAAATTCTGCAATCGCTCAAGCTTATCCTAAAGTTCTTCAGTAGCGTCGAGAAAGGAGACATCAGCATAGTCTAAAAGGGGAAAGAGAAGGGATCCTGAAATACAAATTTTAGTTTTAAAGGGAAGAAATTTTTGAAGACGCTTTAGGGAATGATAGGTATTAAAGACTTTTCCATTTACTTCAGGTACATGTGTAGTCTCAGCCATGCAACTGTCAATGAAAACTCCGAGATTTTTCACAGATGACGAGTAAGGTATGAGAACAGTGTTGTAAAAAACTGGAGGTAGTGTGGAATGGCTTAGTCTACTGTATATGTATCTGCCACCAATAACTATTGCTTGAGATTTCGCGGGGTTGACAAGCAGTCCATACGATTTAGCCCATGTATTAATGTTCTTAAGATCATTATTGATGGCAGCGACGGCCTCTGCAAGATCGTCAACCTTACATTGACGATATATCTACAGATAGAATCGTCCGCATTGAGATGAAATTAAAAGATATAACATTAGTGATAGCAGTGGTAAAAATTGAGATAAGAGAGATTTTAGTAACATTTTAAGTTTTTATTTTATCTACTAAATACGATGGGAAAAAAATTACAGGCAACCTGATGATAAGCTGTGCCGATAATCATTCGCAAAATTCACCTCATTTAGCAGCAGAAAATACCGTATTACGTTTAGTTGTATGTGAAAAATTAATATTTAGTATTTGGCTGAATAATGAAAAATCGCTTACTAGTACCTACCTATTACCTGGCAAAGGAGATGCAAGTCCATGATTAAATTGATATAGGAGTGAAAGTGTAGGTGAACGATGCAAATGTTTTAGGTTATTTTATATCTATACCTATAAAAACTGATCCATCAACGTACAGCTGAAACCGGTGGGTCTAGTAACATGAAATTTTGCACAAAAGTTCCTTAGGTGATGCAAGTGTGCACTAAGAAAGGATTTTTTTTTAATTTTACCCCTTAGAGTGCAAAATGGGTGTTCGAAATTTATATGAAACTTCGTTATTTTTGGTAGTAGCGTTTTCAAACTAACAGTAAATACTCTTTAATTTGTATCTTCTATTGATACATATAGCTATAATCTCGTTTCATTGTATCCTCTACGATGTCTGATATTTATATTTTTTTAATTAAATTTTTAAAAGCGAATACTTATTACCTTAACAGATATACCAAGCAGAGGATTATGTTTTATTCACAGTTTCGAGGTAAAGGTAATGCAACTAAATTTACCCCGCTGAATTCGAGATTATTCAAATCAATACAGAAGGCAGCTCCTAATACATTTCACTTCGCTTCATTGGAATATAAAACCAGAACTCTCAATACAAATGAGGGTAATATAAAAAGCTAAGGTTTACCTCGTGATGTACGAGTACGAATAATTTTAATTCTTTTATGAGCAGAGTGACTTTATTTGATTTAATTATCAAAGAGAAATCTTTGTCAGTAAAAGTGACATTTTGTCGCAAATAATAGACATGTATTAG